GGATCAGGAAGGCATACTTAGATGTGTATAGATGTTGACTCTCTGTTCTTTTGACAGTTTTAGAGCTTCTGTTAGGGCCACTAATTCTGCCAATTGAGCACTTGTATTAGGAGGAAAAAGACCTAATTTGAGGATGCCAAATTCTGTCACAACCGCAAACCCTGCATGTCTGACACCATTCTTGACAAAGGAACTGCTGTGAGTGTATAATTCTAGATCTGGGTTTTTTAAGGGTTGATCAGTTAAGTCAGGTCGGGCAGCATAATTCTCCACTAGTACCTCCTCACATGAGTGTTCGGGATTTCCCTCTGCCTCTGGTAGAAGGGATGCAGGGTTTAGGCTCTGAAAGGTCCTTAGAGTTATTCCTGTCCCTCCCAGATGCTGGGCCTGGTATTTAAGTAGACAGCTGTCAGATAGCCAAAGTTTTCCTTTTGAGTTTAAAATTCCCCCTAGGTCATGTGGGGTATAAACCATGAGGCGGCGGTTTAGGATAAGTTTTTGAGCTTCAGGCACTAGAAGTCACTGCTCTAAGACATCCTGGCCATATCTTGGCTACCTGGTCTAATTCCTTACTTAAGTAGCCTACTGCCTGGGGAGTGATGCCCCGGAGCTGAGTCACCACTCCTAAGGCCAGTCCTCCCTTTTCATAGACATATAATTGAAACTTGTCCTGTGCTGGGAAACCCAGGGCTGGAGCTGTCATAAGGGCCTTTTTTAACTGCTGGAATGCATTTTCCTGACTTGTCATCCCATTCAATAAAGGGCTGGGGATCCTTCTGTGCTTCCTGAAGGATTTGATATAAGGGCCTGGCTAGGTCTGCATATCCCAGGATTCAAATTCTACAGTATCCTGTGACCCCCCAAAAAGGCCCTCAATTGCTTTAGAGTTTTAGGTAGAGGAAATGTCAGGATCAGATGGATTCTGTCTTCTCCTAGAGCCCTCATTTCCTTCTCCAGGACAAGACCTAAATATGTAACCTTAGACTGACACAATTGGGCTTTTTCTTTAGAGATTTTATATCCTCTATCTGCTAGGAAGTTTAGTAAGGATTCAGTGACTTGCAAAATGACAGGCTCAGGCAGTCCACAGAGCAGGAGATCATCCACATATTGTAGCAGAGTAGCTTGTGGGTATTGCCATTCTGCCAAATCTTGGGTTAGAGCCAACCCAAAGAGATGGGGGCTGTCTCTGAATCCCTGGGGGAGGACAGTCCAGGTGACCTGTTCAGACTTCTGTGTGGAGTCCTCAAAGGCAAAGATAGGTTGACTTTTAGGGTGTAAAGGAATGCAAAAGAAGGCATCTTTTAAATCCAGGACAGAGTAGTAAGCGGTACCCAGAGGTATTTGGGCTAAGAGCGTATAGGGTTTTGGAGCTACAGGGTGGAGAGGCACTACTGCTTCGTTGATCAGGCGAAGATCCTGGCCTAGCCTCCGTTTTTTAGGTCCCTTCCTGACACTGAGAATAGGAGTATTATATGGGCTGGAGCATTCTATTAGCAGTCCCTGTCTTTTTAAGTCTTTGATTATGGGAATTAGCCCCTCCTTAACTTCTGGCTTTAAAGGATATTGTTTTTGATGGGGAAACCAGGAGGGGTCCTTGAGATAAATTAGGACTGGGGCAGCTGTTCGTGCCTGTCCCACGTGTGTCCATCCATCCACACTGTGGGGTCTACTTGTTCCTCTATCAGGGGCAAGCAACAGTACTCTCCTGGGGGTAAAAGGAGGTGTATCCTCAGTTTAGATAGAAGGTCTTGCCCTAGCAGAGGAGTAGGGGTTTCTGGGACAATTAAAAAGGAGTGACAGAAATGGAAATCTCCCCAGGAGCAGGCTAAGTGCTGAGGAAATAACACTCTAGAGGCTGGCCTGATATGCCCCAAACAGTAATTTTCTTGGAGGACCTGGGTCTGGGAGAGAAAGGAATAGCTGAGATGCTGGCTCTAGTATTGATAAGGAGGCTGACCTTGTGCTTTTCAATAGTAAGTATCACTCAGGGCTCCTTTGCTTTTATGGTGGTCACAGGAGCCTGGATGGGAGGCCCTGGGACCAGTCATTGGGTGGGAGGCTCTGGCCTTGGTTCACTTACCAAGACACCCTCCCCTCAATGCCCCTGATCAATTTCTTATCTATTTATTTTGACTTGCCTGTTTGCCCTCGACCTAGGTACCTGGTTCTCCTCTACCAGCTGCAGGCTTGTAATCTAAAAATAACTCTATCAAAGTAACCAAGAGGGCTTACGTGACCAGAGGGAGGACCCTGCGGAAACCTGGATGGGGACTCCCTATGAGGTAGACTTTTCTCCCCTATATATCCTGTGAGGCATATATATATATATATATATATTTTTTTTTTTTTGTTGTTGTTGTTGTTGTAGTAAGGGACAAAAGTGGAGAAGCTCAGTGAGGTCTCTATCCCTTTAACTGTTGTTTTTTTTTCCCTGAGAGCAGACTATGGAACCTGCTTAACCAAAGGCAGTTAAGTCCAAGTTAAAGAGTAGCACTTTCTGGTGTCTGTCATGGGCAATGCAGGGGTTTTTCCTAAACTCACTGAAGAAGTTAGCCCACTTCTGTTTAGAACAAAGAGGGGAGGCCACTCATCTGGAACTACTTGGGAAAGAGGAAGGAGAAGCTGAGGGTTGGAGGAAAAGAGAGTTTCCAGGCTCAACGCATGAGGGATTATTGTCATCACAGCTGTCCAGGTCAATCCTGTGAGAGGCAGTACTGGAGCACTGGAAGCAAGGGGTGACCTCCACTCTTGGGCTACAGGAACTGTGAAAGAAGTGTAAGAGATCTAATTGTCTGTTTGCCACAGACATGGCTGGAGGGGCCCAAGACTTAGCCACCTTTGGAGCCTCAGGGCGGGTCAGGAAGTTGCATCTTCAGCCTTCAGGTGACACCAGGGAGTGCCCAGGCCAGAATACCCTTATAGCTTGAAGAGAAACTTTCCTTTCCACCGGCTGTTTTCGGACTTCCTCCTAAGCAGGTCTGATTTTGAAAGGGAGAGAGTTTAAGGAGGGAGGGAGTCAAGAGTTGAGAGGAAAAACAGCCTTGGTGCACTGAAATTTAGCATTGGCAGTTGGTATAAGGCCCTGGTTGGCCCCCAATTTCCCAGGTTGACTGCCTTACAGCTATCATGGGCTTGGAGCTTTTCCTCAGGTTCCTGAGAGAGAAACCCTCTTTAGAGAGACAGAGGGAGAGAGAGAGAGAAAGAAAGTTCAGCCTGAGAGGTCCACTGTAGCTAAGCCATGGGGGGAGGGTCTCTCCTGGAAAATAGACTCCCTCGGAGTGCAGGACGAAAACAGTCACTTCCTAGGCAGTCTTCTTCAGTTTGGTACAACCTGTACTGACCTCAGGTGAAGACTTGTCCCTTCGTACATTGCCAAATACAATGCACAGATGACACACACAAGAATTTCAGGTGTTCAGGGTTCTTGGGTCCACTCTGAGAATGAAAGCACAGGTGGCCTCAAGCAGCAAAGGTCAGAAAGATTTTATTTGTAAAGAGAAAAGCTGCATGGGGGCAGGCAGGGAGACCTGGAAACTGGTGGTCCCGTGGGTCAGGTTGGAGATTGGGTTTTAAAGCTTTTTTTTGGTGTATTGCCTCAGGGCAGAGATGTCTCTCAGGTTGCGTTTCCTGGGAAGAAGTGTCTCCTTGGCCAGTTATCACCTTTTTTGACTTCCTGCAGTCCATCCTTCACTTCCAAATCAAGTTCACTTAAGTAGCTAAAATGTAGCTGGACAGGCTGGCTTCCCAAACTTGCCAAATGATCATTTGGAATACTTAACATACTTAAGCCCAGCCCAATGGAAAGGCCCATAATCTGGTATGTTAAATAAGCACCTCAGGTGATTCTTATATTCAGATATACTTGAAAATGGTGGGTTCTTGCATGCTCTGAGAGTCTCATGGACACTGGGAAGCTCAATTGGGATCCAAGGGAGCCTGTAATCAATTGCTAGGGTCAGAATCAATTACTGGAGCCGGTGGGGGGGGGGTTTCAACACATTTCTGTTGAAACTTATTCCCCAATGTGCTAGTACTAAAAGGTGGGTATCTTTAAGTGATTGAAGACAGACCCCTTATGGATGAGATTAGGAACTCTTATATAAGGGCTTGAGAAATGGGTTTTTCTCTTCTACTTGCCACGTGAAGACACAGCATTCATCTCTCTTTTCCATTTCCCCTTCTGTCATATGAGGATGTAGCAACAACTGCCACCTTGAACGAGAGATTAGGCTCTTAACAGATACTGAACCAGCAGGCACCTAAACCTTCAACTTCCATCCTCCAGAACTGTAAGAAATAAATTACCCAGGCTCAGATTTTTTGTTATAAAGCAGGAATGGACGAAGACTCCAATCTATAGGTAATGTAGGGGCAGGAATATTCGAGGACTCTTCTGTAAGTTAGAATACTGAAAAGTCTTTAGAGCTTGAGACCAAAGAAGAAACTTATGGTCTCCTTACTATCTCCATGCCACAGATGGTTTAAAATATCAAAAAGAAAAATCCTGGGTATAGACTGTTCCAAATGTCAGGTTTCCAGACCGTTAGTTGGAATAATACAGTTGTTCACAGAATCTGGATCCTCTGGGATTGACTTCTTTGCATATTTGCTAAGATAATTAAGAGTACCTATCTTTTATTAGGTAAGGGTTTTTTTTTCACTTAAAAAATCAGGGGCTAGGGATGTAGTTCAGTGACAGAGCACGTGCCTAGCATGTCTAAGGCCTTGAGTCTGATCCCCAGCATCATATGTACACACACACACACACAAAACACTATTTAGAGTGAGACAGTAAAGTGGTATAGAATGAGAAAATCACTTTATTCAATACAAGTTTTCAGTTCTGTTCATAATTACAGTATAGAAAAATTCCTTTTGCTTGTTGATTTCTTTTGGTTGTTTTAGTTAGGCTTAAGAAAAAAAATGTTAGAGCTAAAATCCTTAAAGTATCACTGAAAGCTGTATTCTTCATATACATAAGTGTATATATGGACATATATGCATATATAGCTCTGCTTTCATATGAACCACTCAAGATTAGGGCTGGGGGTAGGGCTGAGAGGTAGAGTGCTTGCCTAGCACACATGAGCTCCAGGTTGATCCTAGTTGCCCTTTTACATACTTAAAAGCTCCACAGGTGGTGGCTTTAATGGAATTTTTCCCAAAGTAAATTTCTTGGACTGAAATTGCTCCAGTTCGTCTACTCTTAGTTGATGCTTGGGTGTGAATAGCACATTATCGGTAGTGTCAGTGGCACTGCAGGCAGACATGTTGTTACTGCCAAAGATGTCACTAGTCTCTTTGGAAAAAGCAGTGTGAGAATGTGAACTAGGACCACCAAAACCAGCCACAGAACTGCTACTTCCGAAGGCTGGGGCCACTGAAGCCCCAACACAGCCTGACGCCAAGGAAGCTGGAAATCCAGAAAATCCAGCTGATCCAAAACTGGAAGCTACAGGGCTCTTGAATGAAAATGAAGCAGCCAATGTGATTCCAGGCTTCCCAAATCCAAAAGCTGGAGTGCAAGTAGAGATGGCAGAACTGGCAGAGGGTACAGCACCAAATGCTGGAGGACTCCCAAACACCGAAGGGTTTCCAGAAGGGGCAGTGACAAATCCAGGGCTTGCTTTAAAACTAAAATTCTGAGCACTATCGTTGCTGCTGTTATTCACTGGAAAACCTACAAAAAACAGAAAAAGAAATCGTTATAGTTGAAAAATGTAGCCACATCACTCCCCCCCTATCTTATTTTTGCTATGTTTGGATGATATGTTTATTGGAAGGAAAGTGAAAAGGAGAGAGGTCAGAACAACTCATAAATCCTATTTTCCTGTTGTTTCTGCTACTGATTTACCTTCACCTAAGAGAAATCTCAGGGACTTGGGAGTGGACTTTCACTTTTGCATTGCTACCTTCTTTCACCAGAGCCATCACTTGACAGGTGTACAGTGGTAAGAAAAATCTCAAAGGTACCACTACCATAGCTGTGTATTCTTACAAACCCCCTGAATGTACTTTTATAACCAGAGCTGTAGTGTCTGTCTTTCAAAGCACATGTCCATTCTGGCCTGCTTTTCACAATGCTTAATGAGCAAATTTCTTTGAGGTTCCATAAAGGAAGACAGAATTTATGAGGGTGATTTCAAGTGGTGATTCAGGGTTTATAAGTCGAAAGTTATGAAATCTTAATTTTTTGAATCAGCAAAGTCCTGCATTGCTTTATCACTTACCTTTTGACCCAAATGCTCCTGCTTGTCTACTTCCAAATCCAAATGCAGGTGCTGCTTTATTTACTCCATCCTTTATGTTGGAGAGCTTTAAAAAAGTATTCAAGTAATAAAATGCTTGATGAATAGTTCTCAAGTACCTTTTCTATACACTTTACAGCCAAATTCAATTTTAAAATGTGCATTTAACAAGTGAAGATAAATGTTAACATGGAAAAATGCCCATGTGATGTCGAAAAAGGTAAGATATAATGTTGTATAAAGTGTAATATCAACTAATAATACGAATATGCATGGAAAAATGTACATCAATGAGTTAATGGTGATTATCTCTGGTTGAGTATTATGGATGATTTTAAGTTTATGCTTTCTAAATTTCTGTAAAGAGCACATAGTACAACCAGAAAAATATTTTTTAACAATACATTTCATTGTCTATAAGGTTAGAGCTACATTTATCAAGAAATACAGGGCTAGAAGAGTGGCTCAAGTGGTAAAGCCCCTGCCTACCAAGTGTGAGACTCTAAGTTCAGTCAAAACCCGGTCCTGTCAAAAAAAAAAAAAAAAAAAAAGGAAATCTAGATATAGGTGCAAAGGATTTTTAGAGGATACCCAGTCTACTCTTATGCTTGAACTGAAGTGGATTCACAATTACAGTTAAAAGCTTACCACTAAAATCCAGTAAGCATTTCCTAGTCCTTAAAAATATTTTATGCTCTTTCATCTCTTTTAAGTGAAATCTTAACCCCCTTTTCTTTTTTTTTTTTTCATTTTTCTTTTATTATTCATATGTGCATACAGGCTTGGTTCATTTCTCCCCCCTGCCCCCACCCCCTCCCTTACCACCCACTCCGCCCCCTCCCTCTCACCCCCCTCAATACCCAGCAGAAACTATTTGCCCTTATTCTAATTTTGTTGTAGAGAGAGTATAAGCAATAATAGGAAGGAACAAGGGTTTTTGCTGGTTGAGATAAGGATAGCTATACAGGGCATTGACTCACATTGATTTCCTGTGTGGGTGTTACTTCTAGGTTAATTCTTTTTGATCTAACCTTTTCTCTAGTCCTGTCCCCTTTTCCTATTGGCCTCAGTTGCTTTAAGGTATCTGCTTTAGTTTCTCTGCGTTAAGGGCAACAAATGCTAGCTAGTTTTTTAGGTGTCTTACCTATCCTCACCCCTCCCTTGTGTGCTCTCGCTTTTATCATGTGCTCATAGTCCAATCCCTTGTTGTGTTTGCCCTTGATCTAATGTCCACATATGAGGGAGAACATACGATTTTTGGTCTTTTGGGCCAGGCTAACCTCACTCAGAATGATGTTCTCCAATTCCATCCATTTACCAGCGAATGATAACATTTCGTTCTTCTTCATGGCTGCATAAAATTCCATTGTGTATAGATACCACATTTTCTTAATCCATTCGTCAGTGCTGGGGCATCTTGGCTGTTTCCATAACTTGGCTATTGTGAATAGTGCCGCAATAAACATGGATGTGCAGGTGCCTCTGGAGTAACAGTCTTTTGGGTATATCCCCAAGAGTGGTATTGCTGGATCAAATGGTAGATCGATGTCCAGCTTTTTAAGTAGCCTCCAAATTTTTTTCCAGAGTGGTTGTACTAGTCTACATTCCCACAACAGTGTAAGAGGGTTCCTTTTTCCCCGCATCCTCGCCAACACCTGTTGTTGGTGGTGTTGCTGATGATGGCTATTCTAACAGGGGTGAGGTGGAATCTTAGTGTGGTTTTAATTTGCATTTCCTTTATTGCTAGAGATGGTGAGCATTTTTTCATGTGTTTTTGGCCATTTGAATTTCTTCTTTTGAGAAAGTTCTGTTTAGTTCACTGCCCATTTCTTTATTGGTTCATTAGTTTTGGGAGAATTTAGTTTTTTAAGTTCCCTGTATATTCTGGTTATCAGTCCTTTGTCTGATGTATAGTTGGCAAATATTTTCTCCCACTCTGTGGGTGTTCTCTTCAGTTTAGAGACCATTTCTTTTGATGAACAGAAGCTTTTTAGTTTTATGAGGTCCCATTTATCTATGCTATCTCTTAGTTGCTGTGCTGCTGGGGTTTCATTGAGAAAGTTCTTACCTATACCTACTAACTCCAGAGTATTTCCTACTCTTTCTTGTATCAACTTAAGAGTTTGGGGTCTGATATTAAGATCCTTGATCCATTTTGAGTTAATCTTGGTATAGGGTGATATACATGGATCTAGTTTCAGTTTTTTGCAGACTGCTAACCAGTTTTCCCAGCAGTTTTTGTTGAAGAGGCTGCTATTTCTCCATCGTATATTTTTAGCTCCTTTGTCAAAGATAAGTTGCTTATAGTTGTGTGGCTTCATATCTGGGATCCTCTATTCTGTTCCACTGGTCTTCATGTCTGTTTTTGTGCCAGTACCATGCTGTTTTTATTGTTATTGCTTTGTAATATAGTTTGAAGTCAGGTATTGTGATACCTCCTGCATTGTTCTTTTGACTGAGTATTGCCTTGGCTATTCGTGGCCTCTTGTGTTTCCATATAAATTTAACAGTAGATTTTTCAATCTCTTTAATGAATGTCATTGGAATTTTGATGGGAATTGCATTAAACATGTAGATTACTTTGGGAGTATAGACATTTTTACTATGTTGATTCTACCAATCCATGAGCATGGGAGATCTCTCCACTTTCTATAGTCTTCCTCAATCTCTTTCTTCAGAAGTGTATAGTTTTCCTTGTAGAGGTCTTTCACATCTTTTGTTAGGTTTACACCTAGGTATTTGATTTTTTTTGAGGCTATTGTAAATGGAATTGTTTTCATACATTCTTTTTCGTTTGCTCATTGTTAGTGTATAGAAATGCTAATGATTTTTCTATGTTGATTTTTATCCTGCTACCTTGCTATAGCTATTGATGATGTCTAGAAGCTTCTGAGTAGAGTTTTTTGGGTCTTTAAGGTATAGGATCATGTCGTCTGCAAATAGGGATATTTTGACAGTTTCTTTACCTATTTGTATTCCTTTTATTCCTTCTTCTTGCCTAATTGCTCTGGCTAGGAATTCCAGTACTATGTTGAATAGGAGTGGAGATAGTGGGCATCCTTGTCTGGTTCCTGATTTTAGAGGGAATGGTTTTAATTTTTCTCCGTTAAGTATAATGCTGGCTGTAGGTTTGTCATATATAGCTTTTATAATGTTGAGGAACTTTCCTTCTATTCCTAGTTTTCTTAGAGCTTTTATCATGAAATGATGTTGGATCTTATCAAAGGCTTTTTCTGCATCTATTGAGATGATCAAGTGGTTTTTGTCTTTGCTTCTGTTAATGTGGTTTATTACGTTTATTGATTTTCGTATGTTGAACCACCCCTGCATCCCTGGGATGAAGCCTACTTGGTCGTGGTGAATAATCTTTTTGATGTGTTGCTGAATTCGGTTTGCCATTATTTTGTTGAGGATTTTTGCATCAATGTTCATTAAGGAGATTGGCCTATAGTTCTCCTTTTTGGAGGTGTCTTTGCCTGGTTTTGGGATAAGTGTAATACTGGCTTCATAAAATGTGTTTGGCAGTTTTCCTTCCCTTTCTATTTCATGGAACAGTTTAAGGAGGGTTGGTATCAGTTCTTCTTTAAAGGTCTGATAGAATTCAGCAGAGAATCCATCAGGTCCTGGACTTTTCTTTTTGGGGAGACTCTTGATTGCTGCTTCAATTTCATTTTGTGTTATAGGTCTATTCAGGTGATTAATTTCCTCTTGGTTCAGTTTTGGATGATCATATGTATCTAGAAATCTGTCCATTTCTTTTAGATTTTCAAATTTATTTGAATATAGGTTCTCAAAGTAGTCTCTGATGATTTCCTGGACTTCCATGGTGTTTGTTGTTATTTCCCCTTTTGCATTCCTAATTCTACTAATTTGTTAACCCCCTTTTCAAGGGAGGTTTTTACTTACTCCTTTCCTCCAAAACTTTCCTTATCAAACCAAACAGAACTTCGTTCATTTGGAAACCCCAATAACATTTCAAAAAAATCAACTTTTTGTGGTTCAATTTACATAATATGCATTCAATTTTATTAATATATTTGAATGAATTTTGACAAATTTTTAACTACTACCACCACAATTAAGATTCAAAACCCCCTAAAAATTTCCTTTGTCTCTACCCAGTCAACCCCTCCTTTTTCCTGGACCCCAGCAACTGTTCATCTCCTTTTATAGATGAGCTGTGTCTTTTCCATAGTTAATATTCATTAACAGATAAATGGACAAATTCTAGAACATCCATACAATGAATTCCTACTCATGATAAAGAGGGAATGAACACCAACACATGCTAATCCAGCAAGGGATGGGTTATCCCAGATCAGCTATGTAGGGGCCTAGCAGATCAGCAAAGAGCAGGGAATTTCCAGCCCCGAGGGAAGTTGTGCAGTTCCTTGGACTCAGTTATCCCTCCTCCATCAATCAGCTCTCATTAATGGTGATGATGGGCCATTTCTTACCTAGGGATGGAATATTTCTAAAAAGTCTTACTAAATTCAAATGGCATTACAACAGAAAGATGAAAGAAATTAGTTTGTACAAGAGTCTAGTCAGGACTATGTATCCTTGCAGACAAGTGGGCAGCATGTTCTAAAGGCATTTCTGTTTAAGACAAGGGATCCATGGTAAGTGTCCTTTGGTCACAAAAGTATACCTAAGTCTGAATATGCATTCATATTATTTTTTGAAGTAATTTCTTTTTAAACACAGAGAACTTTTAATACTTGAATTTATGTACTATTTCTCAATTTTCACAACTAGTACAACCAAAGCTAAAAAATTTACCCTAAAAAGTTTTTAATTATCTCTACTTTCCTTTCTTCTTTTTTGCGGGAGGAGGAGAAACTGGAGTGTTGAGACAGGGTCTCGCTATGTAGCACAGCTACATGAACTCATGATCCTGCTGCCTCAGCCCCCAGAGTGCCTGGCTAACCCTGCTTCTCTAACTGAGGAGCAGAGTGAAAGCAATTCTAGGATCTCAACTTGAAGTGATATTTTGAGTATGCACATATTTAACTTGTATTTTTTACTTTCTGGTTTGAACGCTGGGCCTTGTGCTTGCTAGTCAGGCACTCTGCCACTTGAGCCACAGTGCTAGTCCACATATAATTCTCGACAAAAGAATTTTTGCTTTGCTTTCCAAATCCAAAGTGAAATGTCCTCTGTGAAAGAGCCAATCAGAAGACACTTCCCTAAAGAGAACTTTCCAATACTTACCAAAACTACTTTAGTTGAGGTATTTAGATTTTTCAGTTCATTTATCCTATTTCTCCATTGATTGATTAACTGTTGGACAGAATTTAGCTGAAGAGAGAAGACAGAAAAATACTCAATATTGAGTGTTTAAGTAAATTTCTTCAATAGCAACTTCACATTATTTGCCAAACTCACAAAACATTTACATAACAGTTTTATGGTGCATAACTGTAAAACTTGCATTGACCTGTTCCTATTTGCCAAAGACATTTCAGCTCTGGTCGCCTCTTCCTGTTCTCTAATTCCTGTATCGCCTTGATCATCACAAGTACTGGGCAGCACAGTTAGTTATATCTGGGTAGGACATGAATATGTGTACTATTTGAAATGCATGATCATGACTTATAGAAAAATACATCATTTTCTTCAGGACTTCCCCTCCTTGCCCCCGCCCCATTTTTTTTTTTTCTTGATATTTGACACATGAGGATGTTATCTGTATAACAGACTACATCTTATTTAACTTTGTTTTCTTAGAATTCATTATGGGATCCACATCTATCAGATGCACAATAAATATCTGTCAAATGATGTAAGGGATGACTGACTGATGGGTAATTTGTAGTAAAAACACTGTTTTCCTGATTACTATAGTCAAAATATATTATCATCAATTTAGATAACCAATTTCAAAGGAAGTAACCTAGAAAAAAAAATTTAAAGCCTTTATCAACTTTGCCAAAACACAAGCAAACCACTCTAGAGAAAACAGTATTGACAGCCAATTTGCTACTGAGGTAGATGAATAGGAAACAAACTTACATAACTCTGTAAGTTATTGCTGGTTAAGAAGTTATGGTATTCAAGCCTCAACTCCTCTGGTGAAATGTCTGTAAAACCTGAAGTGAGGAATCAAACCAAATAATTTTGATAGTAAAGTTTGAGGTGCTAGACAAGAAAATATGTTGACGGTGATTATCAGAAAATTTTCATAATCATAAGGAAAAAATTCTAAGTGTACACTCTTTCATGTCTAATAAAGTATAAAACTAGAGTAAAATACAGTTATTTCATCTTTGAATGGGGGAGAATTTTCTAAAGATGAGTGGAAGGAATAACAAAGAAAATATCTGACTACGTATACATTCAAACTTCGGTCTAAAAAAATCCTTTCAGAGTCTACAATAAAATTAAAAGGCTCAATTCCAGCTATTTGGGAGATGGAAATAGAGGGAGGAACACTGTTTCAGGCCCGTTCAAAAAGTTAGTGAGATCCATCTCAACAAATAAGCTGGGCATTGTGGTGCATTCCTGTGGTCCCAGCTAATTGTGAGGCTGTAGACAGGTAGGAAGGTCATAGACCAACTCCAGGCAAAAACACAAGATCTTATCCAAAAACTAAAAGAAAAGAAAAAAGGGAGATGGGGTAGTCCCTGGACATGTGGCTCAAGTGGTAGAATTCCTTCCTTGTAAGCATGAAGCCCTGAGTTCAAACCCCAATACTGACAAAAAGAAAAAGAAAGAAAAGAACTTCACAAAAAATTCAAATAGCTGTAAATAAATGAAATAAAGTTAATTTTAAACTTAAACTAGAGATAAAAGGCTTCCTTTATCAGACTAGCAAAAATTAAAAATATGATAGCTATTACTACTCAGGATGAAGTAAAACAGATAGTCTCCTAAACAGCTGTTAAGGGAACTTTCCTGAAGGGAAAACTGTCAGTAAGCATCACAAGCATTAAAAATGTTCAACTTGGGCTGGCAGAGTGGCTCAAGTGGTAGAGGGCCTACCTAGCAAGTGTGGAGGCCCTGAGTTCAAACCCCAGTGCCACCAAAAAAAAAAAAAAAAAAAAAAGTATTCACAGTCTTTGAGCTACATTATAATTTCTAGGATTTAACCTCAGGATACAATTATGTATGTAAACAAAGGGTGTTATGCATAAGGATGTTCATTCCAGTATTTCTAGTAATAGAGACAACACAAAAAAGTAGAATATTGAGCTGGGGGGTATGGTTCAGTGGTTGAGTGCTTGCCTAGCATACACAAGGCCCTGGGTTCTATACCCAGCACAGCAAAAACAAACCAAACAAAAAATCTTAAACAACTAAAATATGGGGTGAATATGGTGGATGTATTTTGTGCTCAAATATGAAAATAAGAGAATGAAACCTCCTCCCTAACAAGAAGGAGGGGGAAGAGAGAGAGAATGATGGAGGGGATAAATCTAACTAAGATATATTGTAAGCAACTATGTAAATATCAGTGTATCCCTCTGTAAAACTATTATATGCTAATAAAAAACAGACTTTAAAAAACTAGACTATAATTTTAATTTTATACTTATAAGCAAGATATATGTTTGTATTATATGTTTTGAAAGAAATGTTTCAGTTGTTAATTTTGTGATATCAGGTGATTTTTATTTTATTTATGTATTATTATACTTGTCAAGTTTTCTATAGGAACAGTTACAACTTTTATAATTAGGAAAACTTATTAAGAAAAGAAAAAAGTGTTCATGATATTTCCTACAGAGAATTCCTTGTAACCAGATGCCATTGATCCAATAACACCCAACTACCCTAGGACAAAAAGCCCCTAGGAAACACACTGGATTTCCTTCTTATCCATATCTAGTATATTAGAATCCTGCCACTTCAGGCTCCAAAACAGAACTAAAATGTGACCAATTCTTATCCACTGCTGACAGCTGTAATCTGATCACCAGCAGTGATTTCCTAATATGTTTCCCTGCCTCTACTCTTGCCCCTGCTCCCACAGACCATTTGCTCCCCTACCCTACAAGTATTTGCTAATCAGACCATATCCCCTCCTGCTTAAAGTTCTTCATATTTGCCTACCCAGTGCAATTAGGCCCAAAGTCATTTTGCTACCTCTTGGCTTTATGCTGTATTACTCCTTCCCTTGTTTACTTGTCTCCAAATTGACTTATGTACCCAAACATGCCAATCTTATTCCCACATCCAGGCCTTTTCAGTTAGCTGTAATACTACTAGGAATTTTTCCCCCCCGAAATCTTCCCATAACTGGTATCTCTTCTTTACTCAGAACTTAGCCCCACTACTGCCACCTAAGAATGGACAACTTCTACCTAAAGGAACACTGTCCCCTAGTTATTCCCTAGTCCTTCCAGCTGTGCTCACCCAGGGTTTCTCATCTGAACCACAGCACACAGAGAATGATTTGCATAACTATTTTTCTCAATTTTTGAAAAGGTGGTACAAAAGGACTATTATTCTAGCTGTACAGGAAAAATTAATTCATTATTAATAATGGATGACTAAGGACAGCAGTTCTCAAAACTTTTTGGTCTCAGGACCTATTTAATTTCTTAAAAATCATCAAGAATCTGAAAAAGCTTCTGTTTACATGGCTTACCTATACTGATAAGTACCACATTTGAAATGAAAACAGAAATTTAGAAAATATTTACTAATTCATTTAAGAAACCAATTATGGTATGAAAATAGAACAATGAAACCAGTTGAAATTGTTCTAAGAAGGGGTAGAGGGGATGAGGGGAGTGAATCTAATTAAAATTCATTGTAAGCATGTATGTAAATGTCACAATGACTCTTCCCTGTATAACTAATATATGCTAATAAAACAATTTAAAAAAGAAACCAATTATGTATCCACATATATTCATTTTCCAAAAATATATAAAAATTAAAACAAGAAAAAAGTTAGTGAGATGAACAGTATTGTTTTATATTGGCAAATCTCTTTAAAGTTTGCCTTAATAGGTGATTGCTAGATTTTTTTCCCCTCCTTCTTGAAGTACTGGGGATCGAATACAGGGCCTTGCACATGCTAGGCAAGTGCTGTATCACTGAGCTCCATCCCCAACCTTGGATTCTTATACATGCATGTACATTCATTCATTCTGTTGCAATATGTAGGAAATGGTTGCAATGTGGTTAAGTACATGAAGAAAAACTCCATTCACATAGTATTCAAGGAATACTTGAATGCCCTTTTCATATAATTGTGGAATTCTTCTTTGACACTATACCACAACTTGACAAGTGGTAATTTCTTAAAGTTCAGCTTATGTGGACTGCAGGCTAATGTGCCTTTTGTATTAGTACATTAAAATCCATTGGTTTATCTTGTACTCAGAATGGATTTTCAGCCATACATAATTTTGTACTACCACACATTTGCCATTTAGAAAATACTGGTCCAATGGGTTACATCAAACTTCCAAGTGCTGGCACAGGTCATTACACAATAAAACAAAACAAAGCAAAACAAAAAAAGCCCTCTCACATTTGTTAATGTTGCTTTGGTCTCATCACAAGAAATTGTGAGTATTGCAAAGCCACCTTGCTCATGGTGATAGAAAAGAGTTTTCTATACTTCTAGTCTTGCTTAAAAGCTTGAATTTTGGCAATAAACACTGTCAGTTTTTTCTTTGAGGTGACAGGCACACTATTTATTCACTTCATTCATTTTGTAGAACATACATGCCAAATACCTAAGTCTTAATAACTATAGCTGTCATTCTTTCCAATAAAAAAAAACTGAAAAAAGTAGCTAGAGCAAAGCTCATAACGCAAATGCACACATAAGCGTTTTCCCCAAACATCACACTTGGGTATGAAGCAGAAGCACTTTACGTATGTTTCCTATTTTGTCATGCAGAATATTTAAAGTGTATACTCAAGGGTTGAGATTTAACAAAATCAATAATTTTTAAGTCTTCACTAAGTTAAAATGGCTACTAAAGTCTACTAGTAGTAGTTTGTTACCTTTGTCTTGATTCATTCTAAGAGATAAATGTATCAGTTTTATTCACCAATGCTTTTATAGCTACAGTGAAAATAGTAATTAATATCTTAGTATCATTATGGAAAAATAGTACTGAGGTTTTGAACTCAGGGCTGCAAGTGCTCTATCACTCAACACTTGAGTTATATCCCCAGACCCTCTTTGCTTTAGTTGTTTTTCAGATAGGGTCTTGTGCTTTTGCCTAGGTTGGCCCTGGATACCAGTCTTCCTATCTCTACCTCCTGGTAATGGGATTACAGCTGTGCATAATACCTGACTCCTGACTTGTTTCTTGAAACAGCGTTCTGCTTTTTATTTGTGGTGTGTGTGTGGGATCTCAGCTGCCTCCAGTCACAGCCCTCCCATCCCTGGGCTCTCAAGTAACTAGGATTACAGGTGTATGCCACTATGCTTGGTATGAAAATACTTTTGACCTATACAGTCTCTAAAGAATTCTCAGGGAAAAAATGAGGGGTGGGAGGTAAAGGAATAAAAGAGAGTAATGGAAGGAGTTGAACGGACCAAAGTAAAGTATACCCACAGTGGGCATATATTGAGAAACCCCTTTGAACATCAAGTTAAGCATTAATAATGAAAAACAGGACTGTAAAATAGGTACAGTGTATATGTGGGGGGGGTACTCGTGAGAGGGGGGATGGTGAAGGTAGGAGATTTAGATGATGGTATATAGTTGATGGACTTCATATACCTAAATGAAACAGAACTAAGAAATTTCCTGCAAGTGCTTTAAGTGGGACAGGGAGGAGGCTGAGAGGGAGAGACAATGAGGGCAATGTAATTAATGTATAATATAAGCCTAATTGGAATTGTCACTATGAATCCCCCCCTGTATAATGAATATATTCTAAAAAAAAAAAATTTGAATATATAAAAAAAGAAGTCTCAGGGATGCTGGACATGGTGGTGCATGCCTGCAATCCCAGCTATGTAGTAGGCAGAGATCAGGAGGATGAAGGTTTGAGGCCAATCTGGGCAAAAAGTTAGCAAGATCCCATTTCAACAAATAAGTTGAGCATGCTGGTATGTGTGGTAATCCCAGCTATGTGGAAGGCATAGGTAGAAGGATTTTGGTTTGAGGCCAGCCCTAAGCACAAATGACAGACCCTATCTGAAAACTTACTAATGAAAAAAGGTCTGGGAGCATGGCTTAAGTGGATGAGTGCCTGCTTTGCAAATGTGAGGCCCTGAGTTTGAATTGCCCCCCACCAAAGTCTCAGGGATAGGGTTGCCAGATTTACCAAATAAAAATACAGAGCACCTAGGTAAATTTTAATTTCAGACATAAAACAAGTACTTTATTTTAGTGTTAATGAATTAGTAGTCCATGAGTTATATATACAATAAAAATATTATTTGTTTATATGAAATTTAAATTTAATTGGATATCCTATATTTCACATGGTAATTCTACTCAGGGATCTATATTTCGTATTTTGAGAACCACTGCCTTAGGTTCACTTCTGATCTGATTAAGATTTAACACTTAAGTACTAATTAAGCGCTAATATCTAAACTGACTAAAAGCTTACTAGTTTATTGTTTTCTTTACAGAAATATCATTGTCTGAAATGATGTTTGTATTCTCTCCCTGCCTCAAGAACATAACCTTCGTAAAGGAGGAGTTGTTTGCCTAGCTTATAATCATATCCCCAGTGCTTAGAATAGGGCATGGCATGAAATAAATTGAATAAGTATTTGTTAAATCAGTAAGAGAGTAATTAAGGCATGCTGTGATAAAATACCCACAGAGAATGGGGAGGTAGAAATGAGACAGAGTGGAGATTCCTAATTTTGGGGCTCTGATTGCAAGGTATCTATTGTGGGTATCTGCTATTTCCTCAACAGGACAAAGGCCCAGGACCACCCAGAATGGGCTTGGGCAAGCCTGGTGGTCTAGCTGTTTGACCAGAAACAACTTAGGGACAAAAGAAAATGGAACAGAGAAGGATATTCTAAAGAAATGCTATCCTTGTAGCTCCTTATCTTTAAACATTATCTCTAGGATAGGTGTCAACATGGGCCATGTAAAATGGTTTTTTTTTGGTATTGGGGTTTGAACTCAGGGCCTACACCTTGAGCCACTCCACTGCCCCCCTCTTTTTTTTTGTGATTTTTTTTTCGAGATAGGGTTTCATAAACCATATTGCCCGGCAGGCTTCGAATCTCCCAATCTCTGCCTCCTGAGTAGCTAGGATTACAGAAATGAGCCACTAGCACCCAGCCAAAAATAACTATTCTTAGAAGGAAAGACAGGGAAGAATGAGCAGAACCAGGACTCAATGGCAGGCCAGTAGGCCAGATGTGTGACTCTTCTATTCTCTCTAGGCAGCTAGGATGTTCTGAGGTTTCACATGTAGTGAACCAAGAAAGCAGAGCCTCTTCCTAGGTTTATGGAGTTAGAATTGTAGTGAGTCCTGATTTTACTATTTTTTTTCATGAGAACTGAACAATATTCTCCAACTTCAATCTCTGAATTTGGAAGTTCTGCTAGAATACCTGGGTACTAACAATGTCCAAACTCTCCTAACTGCAGCTAAGTTGGTAATTAATTTCTTTATTTAGCATGGTCTTGGTTTCAGAAATTAATAGTTTTAGAATATATTTTTTAAAAACCCAGTATCTGGGCTGGGTTTATAGTTCAGCGGTAGAACATTTATCTAGCATGTGTGAAGGCCTGGGTTGGACCTCAGGAACCCCCTCTAAAAAAAACCCCCAAATAAACAGCAACAAAACCGCGTAATTTCTCAGTTACCTGAAATATTAGGTTTCTTTTTCACTGGTGAATAAACAGAAAACATCCACTGCCCCGATGATTCCCAAATCTCTATATCTTTTATAATTCCTTCCCTGAAAAAAAAGTGAAATGAAAAGAATAAAGGATTTTTTTCCCTGATTGTAAAAATTTATTATGATTTTTAATGACAAAAAATTTAAATTCTAGTAAATACTTAATTATGTTTTTCTAGTATTACTTTTTGAAGAATCTTCTTTAAAGTACTTGTTTATAGAAATATAAATTACATGGTGGATCAGGAGGAGTTTTAGGCCAGCCTGGTCTACAGAGTGAGTGAATTCAAAGCCAGCCTGTCCTACATAGTGGGAACCTGTCTCAAAAAAAAAAAAAAAAAAAAAAAAAACCAAAACCAAAAAACAAAAATAAACTATGATATGAGTAATTAATATTGATTTTCTAATTCACTGAACTATTAACCAATATACTTAAGAACTGTCAGAAATACCACACTATTTTAAAGAATTAAAATACAAAATACATATTCTCTTTATAATCTTTTCTGTTCATTAGCATAAACATCACTTACCATTTAACAGGGAACAACAGGAAATACTACCTAACTGGTAAAATTAAAAACTCATAAAATTTTCAAAATGAGCCCTAGGACATAATTTTATTTCTTCCATTTTACAATATGGGAAACAGACCCACGACCTTAACAGTTAATTTGCAGCAAAACCATAGATAAATGGATGGATTTAGTTCTTTTTTTGTTTTGTTTTTTTTTGGTGGTACTGGGGCTTGAACTCAGGGCCTTATATTTGCTAGGTAGGCGCTCTACCTACCATTTAAGCCTCCCTGCCAAGCCTTTTTTTGTATTGGGTATTTTTGAGATAGGGTTTCTGAACTACTTGCCTGGGGCTGTCTCTGAACCACAATCCTCCTGATCTCTGCCTACTGAGTTGCTAGGAATATAGGCGTGAGCCACTGGTGCAGGCTAGATTTAGTCTAAGTTAATGTTTCTCTCCATCCAGAATGTGACAATTAATAAAATGATATCATAGTGAATACTGTTATTAAATCGAGGGTCACAACAAATGTAGGAGAGGTTTGTTCTTAAAAAAAATCAACTGAAGCTTGCCTCGTACATACAACACCCTGGGTTTAATCCCCAGCACTACAGAAAAGAAACAGAAAAATAATTGTATATGGTACATAGTTCAAAATGTTCATCATGATTCTCATTTAGTTAGGGGAAGTAAAATACTAACCACTATATTGAAATTCTGTCTCTCAGGAGCCAAGAACTAAAGAAGTGTTACTGATAACCAAGCACTGTTTTGGCTCAAGTGGTAGAGAGCCTGCCTAGTAAGCATGAGATCCTGAGTTCAAATCCCAGTGCCTTGAAAAACAAAAATAAATTTTACCACAAATGTTCTTAAGAAATGTCATAAATCTACTATACAATAACAAAAGAAATCAAAATCAGTCTGAATAAGGTAACTGAAAAAGTTTTGGATAGAAAAATAAATGATGCTCTTAGTGATCTCCAAGATCACAGTTGTTTTGAATTACCTAAACTTACAATTTATAATGAACTTAAGCAGGATTAACCTTAGAAAGATATTCATAATAAAGGTTATCAGTATAAAGTAGAAAAGCGTAATTAGCCCTAAGAAGGCATGCTACTAATATGAAGGAGTTTTTTTTAATGAATATATTATTATTGTACTGGGAGTATATTGTGACATTTACAAAAGTTCTTACACTATATCATAGTTGAATTCACCCCCTCTATCATTTTCCTTTATTCCCCCCTTCCCTGAAGGGTATTTTTAAGTGAAATAGTCTACTATGACATATAGCAAAACAGTGATTAGCTCTAAGTGATAGGATCATGGGTGAGTTTTCTTTTTTGCTTACTCTGATTTTTAATAATAGATTACTTTTTTTTTTTTTTTAAAAAGCTCTCTAGGAGCTTTTGGAAAAAACTAATCAAATGGGTATTTTCCTGAAGGCTTTCACTTACAGAAGTTTTTTTTCATCTTTCTGCTCTTCAGCAGTAAATGAAGAGAATGGGGTCTGAGATAATCCAAAATCCCTGTTCCTGCTTGCTGAAGCTCCAGAATCAAAAGAACTGAAAGATGACTTTTCTTGATCTCTGCTGCCCCCCAATGGTGTGGATTTGGAGAAACTAGATGGTTGGATGACACTGGAGTATCTCTGGCTGGTGGCATTCCATCCACGCCTGTTACTACCTAAAATCAACAAATAAAAGAACAATTTTATTGACAACTTCTCTTTTAAATCTTGAAAATCTTCATATTTTTTCTTATTATGTCTACAAATTATACAAAGGTACTTTACAAATTTAAAAAAGCACTATATTTCCACTAATTTTAAATGACAATTTCAGCCAGGTGTGGTGACACACACCTGTAAATCACATCTACCAGGGAGGCAAGTTAGAAGGATCATGGATGGTGGTCCAAGGCTAGTTGGGGGAAAAGCGTGAGATCCTATCAGAAAAATAACTAAAGCAAAAAGGGCTAGTGGTAGAGAGAGCACTTGCCTAGCAAGAGGATTCTCTGAATTCAAATCTCAGCACCCCCCCTCACCAAAAGTCTTCATTTAAGATTTATATAGTTAGGTGTAATATCATCAAATCACATAATGGTCTAAATGTGTTTTTGTTTAATGAGATTGACAGGACTAGAAATCCATGGAAAAATAAAGATATATTGCTAAGTTCAGTTGACATTAGCTAATTAAAGAAACAACTGTTTGGTTGACAGGCACCCTAAGTCATAAGCTCCTTCAAGATAAAAACTGTTTTTATTACTCTTTGCTCCCCCATGGGGCCCTAAGTAGCAGTAGAGATCAGTGAATATACTGGACAATGAAAAAAGATTAAATTATACCTTCTGTCTATGAATATACGTTTAAATCTATTTGCTTGCCTTCTCTTTGGGAAAACAACACCTACACACCTATGTTTCACATGGAGGTCATAGAGGTCATTGATATGTCAATAAAGTACATTAAGTTACTCTACGGGGAGATTTCTAATACTTTATAAATATCAAAATAAGCCAATAGGACTCTCCAGTTTCTATATTGTCTTTAATCTTACTACTTCCTATAGGGGACTAAGATCAAAGTTAATTAGAGAATGGCTATTCTCTAATTCTGGCCAAATTAGAGAACAGCCATTAAACATATTTAATGGCTGAAATAATAGGAGGTACACTCAGTATTACAGTTCACCCCAACTCTAAACTACTTGATAAGTTCAAAGAGAAAAGGGAGATTGCTGGACTAGATCCCTGAAGTAGGAGCTAATGCTATCTTATTTTTCTTAAGTTCTAAATTCTTGAGGGAAATGACACAACTGTAGAAATTTACTTCTTTCTTTTGCATGTTGAATTTAGCCTTTGTAACTTTTGGCCCTATAATCCTAGGAGTATTAAGTTTTTTTGGGGGGCTTCAGTACACTATTCCATCTGTTGAATTTTATTTACATTTTTTACCCCATCCACAAGTCTCTCTACTCAACATTTACTTTCTAATTACTACATTGAGATCAAGTTTCGAGAGACTGTCAAATGCTACATTCCGTAGTCCCTGGACACACACTCAAGGTTTATCAGAGCCTTATTCTTAATTTTTGGTTTGGAATAATTCACTTGACCAATTGCAGATGATGCAAAAGAACTGTCTTCTACAAGTAGAGGTTTCAGATACCTAACTGCCATGCAACACAAGGGGTCAGATGAACAGCCCTAAAAAAGAGGAGCGAAAAGAGCAGCTCGTGGTACTTTAAAGCACTAAATTATAATCCTAAAAAAGAAAACCTAATTGTTCATCTGACTTTTTTTTGTTTTTTTGGAGATTGGGATTTGAACTCAGGGTTTCATGCTTGCAAAGTAGGGGCTTTACCGCTTGTGCTGCACCGCCAGTCCATTTTACTCTGGTTATTTTGGAGATGGGGCCTTACAAACTATTTGCCTGGAATCACGATCCTCCAGATCTCAGCCTCCCAAGTAGCTAGGATTGCAGGTGTGAGCCACCGGCGTCTGGCTTCATGACTTTTAAAATCTTGTGTTTTACTATTGGTATCCCTCCTCTCCTTGAAGACAAATGCTTTGACAACGTCCCAAACCCAGGGAACCGGTCAGCGTACCCCCACACTCCCTATTCTCCAAACCCGCAGGGTTCTTAACCGGGTGTCCTACTTTCGCAACTTTATCCCAAATTTTAAGGCCCTGATTCTACCCTAAGTGGCTTGCCTCTACCTTGAAAGAATCTCGTAAGAATCAGGTTCTCGGTGTCAGGGGAGAAGCCAACCACCTGAGAAGGGAAGGAAGACAAGGAGTCTGGGTCGACTCACGCGAATCCTTTCACCACGGCCACCCATGTCTAATTTAAAAACTCAACGTGTGGCACTTGGACTCAGGGCCAAACCCTCGTCCTCACGTAGCCAACAAAACCAGACTTGCCCAACTCCAGGGCGAAACCATCCGACAACCGCGCGGCGCGGGTCAAGGTGGGCAGGGAGCAGAGGGAAGGAAGCGGAGACACGGCCAAGTCCAGGTCACTGGACCCGAGCGCCGCTGCGCAGCGCCAGCTTGGGGACCCACGCGGGACGCACGGTCCCCGTCGGCCGGGCCTTTCACAGCTCCGCTGGCGGCGGGTTACAGGGAACATCACCTGAGGGCTGTTGCTGTGGTTGCTGCCGCGCCCCGCCCGCACCCCGGACGCCCGGATGTTCATTCCAGCACCGGTCTCCAAAGCGGCACCGGCCTTGAAGAAAGAACTGACAAATGGTCATTGCGATGGCGTAACCGACGAAGCGGTCTTCGGTCAGCGTCAGTTAGCTAGCCGAGAGCCCCAAGCAACCGAAGGCAACCAGCCTCGCTACTGTGACGTCATCGCCTCGCGCCCGGAAAGGGCCCTTTCCCTTTTGTCCCGCCCTCGGTACGATGAAAGGCGTGAGTTATAGCCAATAGGATTTGAGAAGAGCGAGACTGCCCTGACGCACTGGACGTGGCCTGAGAAAGGGGCGTGCTTGAACTGTTAAGTGGGGAAGACGTGTTTGACCCGGGTGCGGGACTTCGGACTTCAGGAAGGCTCGCGGTCCAAAAGGAGGGGAAAGCCGAAGTAACAAACGTAGAACTTCTGCGAGGCTCTGAGGGGAGGATGGGCTGTGGTTTGAGAGACTGAGTCGTTCTTTCCATTTGTAACTGCTGAGAAAGTAATCACTGCCCAGTCATTCATCAGGATGAATCAGAGGGAATGTCAGCTGTTAACAGGAAACAATATATCTTTTTAGGACTCACTGCAACTGGAAAGTATCGTAATTACCCTTATTTTTGGGTGTTACTACCTTCCTACACGCATAAAATGTTGCTATTTGAAATCGTATCAGAAAGAATGAAACATCGCATTCTTGCCTGAAGTATTCTAAATTACTCTGACACAGAGAGGCAGCCCAGTTTTTACCCAGGTACACAGCTTCAGACAAGGGGTTTCTGCAACAAGCCACGTATCCTTAACTTGGCAGTTTCTGAGGAAATGTGACCCTGACCATCCATTTTCCAGTCCACACCTCATATCGATGCCTTCACATACGGTTTTGCTGTGGGCCTATCTGAACGGTTTTATTTAAATTTCACTTGAATTTACTCTCCCCAGATCCTACAACTTGTATGTGGTGGTGAGTCACCTCACAGTTCTTCTGCTGTATAGTCCTCTTGGAATGCAGAGTTAGTAAGTCTTTGTTTGAATTACAGGTTTGTCCCTGGTGCTTTCTGGATGATTGGGCTAGAGGTGAGCCAACACTCTTGCTCATGTACTTTTGATTGTGAAGACAGTGGAATCGACAAGAACACCACTGAGAACTATTGGCACAAATTAGTAGTTTATTTAAAAACATCAGTTGAAAAGTCAGGTGTGGTGGTACCTGCCCAGCAATGGAGAAGCTAAGGCAGGAGGATCCAAGTTCAGGATCAGCCTTGGCTGCATAGGAAGACCCTGTGTTAAATAAACCAACAACAACCACAAAGTGGAATTAATTTGGTTTGAAGTGAGATTATGGTAGGGTTACAACTACTGTACATTTCCCCCCCCAGAACCGTTTAAGACTGTTGGACACCTAAATGCCCCATCATGCAAATACTTACTGTATATTTCGTACAGTCAAGGCATTGTCCTACATAGCCATTACGCATTAATATTGGTGCATTACCACCATCTTCATTTATGTTTTGTCATGTATCCCAATAATGTCCTTTAAAAGGATCCAGTTCAAAATCATTGCAACCTTAGTCATAGTCTTTTTTTTAATCAAGGGATGCTGTGGTCTTCACATTGCATAATTATAATTTGTCCAATTACCTATGATGTTCACTTTTGATCATTTGTAGCTGCCAAGAAGCTACATAATAAAGTTATTCTTTTTGTCTTTGGTATTAAGAATTTTTCAGGGAGATACTCTGAAAGTATATAAACATCTGGTTCCTCATTAAACTTTTATTTATTCCTATCAATATGAATTTATGATTTTCAGTTTTGTTCAATGGGTTATAATCCATTGCTATATTATCATTTTTATTGTTTTTGGAGATACAGGCTCACTAAGTAGCCCAGGTTAGACTCAAACTCAGGATCCTTTTGCTTCAGCTTCCTGAATGCTGGGATATAGGCATATATCATCACACCTGGCTTCATTACTTACTTGAATGATCAAATCATTCTTAATTTGGCCACTGGGAGCCCCTTTCTCCTTTTAATGAAGGATAAAAGAAATTCCTCATGTTCTTTAATCATTACTTACTTTCAGGGCCCAAAAGATGCTCCAGACTCATTTTATACTTACCCTGGCTTAGGTCCTGGAACCAGCCATTTTTCCAAAGAGCCTTTGGTAGTACTTAGAAATCAAGGTCTAAGTTCTAAGTGTGCTTATTGCTATTGTAATGTCTTTGCAACCAGGCCCCTTCATGGATATTGGTAGGAAATATTTATGTGTAGACACCAATACATATTTCTATATCTATTTATCAAACACTAATAATCTGAAATTCTAATACAAGATCATGAGATTTCTATTTTCCTTCTCTATTTGTAACTTTCTTCTTTGATAGTGTGAAACTTGGTCTTCACTATCTTCATCTCCTGGTATTAACCAAGTTCTCTGTAGTCACTGACTTCTTATCCCTGAAAATGCCAGCATGTGTAAGGACTGTGCTGGGATCAGATATCTCAGACAATACTATTGGTGGCTGAAACCTAAGTGAGGGTGAGCATGGTGCTTGGTAATGTGGATGGGTGGACAAGGCCAGAGTTGAGACTGTCTAGGAGGCTGCTGAGGGAGATAATGAGAACCTAAGGCTGAGGCTTGCAGAAATTGGCAGTGATCAGTTTGGTGAGGGGTATGATGGAAATCAGGAGAATGGTGTTATAGGAAGGAAACTTGTAGTTTCAGGATGATAGAGTAAACATACTTATGCCTTTCCTCTTGAAAGTCATCTCAAGAAAAGGAAAACAAGAACAAACACCATCTTTGATTATACTAGGAGATATCCATAAACTCAAACCTCAGTTTATGAAGATTGAATGCACATATAAGAAGAGAAGATAGCAAATTACTTAGAAAACAGGAAAAAGGTCAAATTAAGTTACTGCAAGTTGGAAACTGAAATCCCCAGAGAAGGCCAAAAGCCTCAGGAATTAAAAGGCTCCAGGTTCCACAGAAGGGTGGATTGTTTCAAATAAACTGTGGGGACTGGAGGTGTGGCTCAAGTGGTAGAGCACCTGTTTTGCAAGCACAAAGCCTGGAGTTCAAACCCCAGTCCTACCAAAAAAGAAAAGTACTTGAAATGAAGTGGGGTTAGCACTTGTCTCTAAAATCCCATCTAGTAAGGCAACTATTCCTCCTTGATTTATTTTTTTGGTGGCACAGGGCCTCATACTTCCTTGGTAGGTGCGGTTATTGCTTGAGCCATTCACCAGCCCTTTTTTGTGAATTTTTTTTTTGAGATATGGTCTAGGAACTTATTTGCCCAGGGCTGGCTTTGAATTGCTGTCTTCCTGACCTGTGCCTCCTGAGTAGCTAGGATTATAGCAGTAAGCCAATGGCACCAAGCTTTTTTTTTTTTATTAGCATATTATTATACTGAGGGTACATTGTGACACTTACAAAAGTGCTTAGAATATATCTTAGATTCACTTCCTCCATCTTCCTCCTTTATCTCCCCTCTCCCCTTCTTAGAAGCATTTCAAAAGGTCTCATTGTTCCATTTTCGTACATGAATGCAAAATACTTCCACCATATTTGCCCTCCTTCACCCTTGTCTTTTCTCCCACCTCCGTCTGGTAACAATCCCTGGACAGGACTTGTTTTACCTTCCTTTAATTTTTTAAAAATTTGTTTTTGATGGTTATACAGGGAATTTCATATATGTTTTATCCCAAATTGGTTCTTCATCCCATTATTCTTAGTAAATTTTCTTAAAAAAAAAAAAAAGACACAAGAGAGCTTTAAGATTCCAGGACATCAGGAACAGAGAGGGCTTATTCTTACCAAATATGAGTTGGAATCCTCTTTGCCTGAGCTCCAGAAATCCTGAAGCCAGGGCTAATGTCCTCTTTCCAATTTGCTCCCTCCCCCAAGGGATAGGGTGACTCTTAATAAAGATTAAGAATCCTAAAAAAAAAAAAAAAAATTATTTCTGGAGAATATTCCAGAAAAATACTATGGATCCCCAACAAAATATCTGGCTATTCTTTCACCATATGGTATTCACTGATTATTTTTGGGGGGAATGGGAGAAGTAGTGGGATTGAGCTCAGGGCCTAGCGCATGCTAAGCACTCTAACAGGTCCAGATATTCACTGATGATTAAACTCATCGTTGCACACGAAAGCTATCATCAGTATTTAATGTGCTGTTTTAAATATTCATGGACAGCTGGAGAACAGATATTTGGGGACAGACTCTGAACATTAAATACTTCCTTAACTCTTGCATATGCAGCGAATAAACAGAAAAACAAATGAGAGGAAACAAACACACCAAGAGTATAAAAAAAGCTGAACTAAATTATTCTTGGAGTATAAAATGAAACAAGAGATGTTATATAAAAATAGAAATGGAAGTGTTCTTGGAAATTAAAAAGTGGACAGTGGGAACAAATAGAGTTGGAAGACATAGTTGGGATAATCCCTTATAAGACACAATCTTCAATCTCATTTTACAAAGAGAGAAGGTACAAAGCTCTAGAGAGCAAAACCTTTCTAGCTGGAAAGACTACTTTTTAATCTTGATTTTTTCCAAAATTAGCTTGAGTCATCTTGGAAAGGGGAAAAATTAGGAAGATGAAAGTGAAACCTTTAGAAATCTTTTTCAGTAACTGTAAAGAGGAAGGAGGGCATTTAAAAAGGTTATCAAATGTTGCATGATACAACCTGTACAATGTTCTTTAGTGAGAATTAGCTGGGTTTCATGTTGGAGTAGATCGGATTTGCTTAAATTTTTGCCATGTTAATTATCAACTTTAAATACAAGATCTCCACTAAATATGTCCTTCATCTTGGCATGTGCAGTAAATCCTTTTTTTTTTTGCTGCTAACAGCATATAAGGCAAGAAGAATATAAGATTATAGGATTAAATAACTGTTTGCTAGATGGCACATTTTAATTTTGATATTGTTATATCAAAACATTTCTTTCATGGTTCAAAATTTTTCATGTGATTATGTCAAGTTTTGAAAGCTAGGGCACAATGCTATGATTATAATTAATTATTGCTGTTTGTAGCAGTAACTTTTTCAAGATGCTAAACTTTCATGTACAAATTGTGATTTTCAAAAGTATAAACTGAATTGTGTCATCAAAATAGTGTCACTGCAAAAGAATACACCACTAACATACCATGCATCTACTAAAATGAACAACAGTTTATAGGATAGGGACTTTTTGGAAAAAAGAACCAGAAAATGTACTTTCAATATGTCCATTATCCTGACATTGACAATTGTGTAGAATAGTTATAGGTTTAAAAAAAAAAGATGCTTATTAGGAATTAAGATACAAATTACTAAGGGAAAACAGTTTTATTTTAACTACACTCCACCTGTCTATATATTTATATAGTATAATGTGTTCTAATTGGTTGGTACAGTCTAAAAAGAACAGCTTGTATATTTAAAATACCTTAAGCAGTGCTGCATATTCTACAGGGTAATTACCCTACTAAGTAATGTAATAAATGGATAGTCTGTTCTCAAAATTTTAACAAGTCATAATTTTTTTCAAGAGTGCAAAATTAAAAGTCCTACTTAAAATGTTCAGAATAGTCAAATATAGAGGCAGGAAATAGATTTGTAGTTGCCTAAGGTAGTGGAGTGTTTGTGGGGGCATACTGGGTTGAATAGTGTCCCCTCCCCACCCAAATGCCTGCTGTAGAACAGAATGTGACCTCATTTAGAAATAAGGTCTTTGCAGGTATTGTTAAGGTTATACTGGATTAGCTGGGGGCCGGGGGTGGGGAGGATACTAAGTTAACTATTATTCTTATAAAAACACCACATAGAGACTCATAGAGAAAAAGGCCATGGAAAGACAAGAGACAGAGACTGTGTGATGAAGTTACAAACAAGGAATGTCAAGGACTGCTGGCAGCTACCAGAATTGAGAGGAAAGGCCTGGGTGGTTTCTGCCTCAGGGCCTCCACTTTAAGACACCTGGCTTCCTGAATGGTGAGGGATAAATGTCTGTTGCTTTAAGCTGCCGTATTAGTGGGAGTTTGCTATGGCAGCTCTAGGAAATTAATGCAGGGGAATATGGGGAGTGATTGCTAATGGATACAGGTTTTCCTTTTGGGGTGATGACATTTCAAAATTGTGATGGTTGGTAAAATCTACTGAATAGTACAGCTTAAATGGGTGATTTATGTTTATATTAATTACATCTCAATGAAGCTGTATGTACATAAAACCCTATATAAATATAAATATGCCTATCATGGTTTTTTAAACTTTTTTCATTTTGGGGCAGCACTGGGGTTTGAACTGGGGGCTTCATGCTTGCTATGCAGGTGTTCTGCCACTTGAGCCACACCTCCAGCTCAAAATTCATTTTTAATTTAAACATTCTTAGGGTTTAATACTATTATAACCTCCATATAAAGAAAACAGTGAAAATTAAAATAGAAACACTGCTTTACACAAACAACTATCACCTAACACATTTAGAATGAAGAATGAATTAAAATGAGTAGTCTATTTTAAGTTTAAAAATATTTAATAGTATCAGATAAAAACACTGATGATGATATAGCTCTAGATGGCTCATTCCACACACAGTGAAAAGTGCAAAACAATACCAGGAAAAAATTTAGTAGTTGGGTTGGTAAACAATTCATTGATCACATAAAAGCAATGAATGGGAGATGACATATTTAACTCAAACTATAATGAAACTTTGAGAGACAACTAAGTTAGATATTTCTGATGTGTTCATTAAGGGACAAAAAAATGTGACTTTTTAATCTGTAAGAGGTTCAAAGTCAACACAAGTGCTTTTGTAATGCTCTACAAATTTGATCTAATGATCTTGTACTGGTTAATCATTCTTATTAAGATTGAATTTTATTTAACTGGAGACTGAAGATGGAGATACTTTAACCACTGAGTAAAACCATATCAATGATGGTTGCTAAGCTTAACACTTTGGAATATATTTAATTGAACTGAATATACTTCTTTCATGAGGAGTCAGATACATTGCTAAGCCCCAAAATCTGTTTAGTTTTATCACCCCATTTTGCTTTCTTTAAAATGGAATATATTTTGCACTAAATGAAACAAATGAAGACAAGCAAAACTATGTGACACCAAGCTGCTCCATCAGAGTTGCCCATTTTGGATTCAGTTTATACTACTTTGTTCTTTTGTTTGTGTTTTTTGAGACAGGGTTTCAATATGTAGCCCAGATTGGCCTAGAACTCAGGATCCTCTTGCTCAGCCTCTTGAGTGCTGGGATAATAGGTATATGCCACTATGCCTGCCCTACTTCTTAGTTCTTGACTGAACAGAAACAGACAGACCTAAGTAAGAGTAAGTAAGTAAGAGTACTTACATATGAAAATAGAATCTAGAGCTAAGAGAAGGCTGCTTCATTGATTAGCATCCCTCACTCTGCCATAATTATATTATAAATTTGAAACTCATTCAAGAAACTCATATTTTCAACAAATGCTTATAATTTTCCACATTTTCTGGCTAGATGTGTTCTTGGTTATGTGGCCAGTTAAAATCTGGTCTTTGAATTACATAAGGAAATTCATATAAAATAAATGTTTATTTTATAAGGATGTTCATCCACTTCAAACTTTCTTTACCAAAATACCAAACCAGAACTTCGTAAGCAAACTCTGTAGAACAAAGCACAGGTGGCCATATTTTTGAGTCTCTAATGAGTCTTGGATTCCATTCACTTCTCATGTTTCAAGGGTCTCTTCATTTGCTCCACAAGTATCAACAACACAGATTAAACAACTTGTGACTGGAAAAGCACGGACTTTGGAGTTGGCAATCCATTTGTCTGTCTCAGTGTTATATTCCAGGATGTGTCCTAATCGGCCCACTCCTTGAAAACCAGCCAAGACATAAATGATAGAGCCAACTGCTGCACACTTCACTGTCACACCCTTCCATGGCATTGGTGACACCATCTTCCATTCATTTAGTTTAATATCGTAGTATTCTACATTGTCCAGACCACCTTAAAAAGAATGAAACAACATGGAAAACTATAGGAACAATTTAACCATCTCTAAATCATTCTTATATTTTCCAACATTTTATTTTTCAAAATAAAAATTTCAAACACATAGAAAGATTGTAAGAATTTTATAATGAATGTCCACATATCTGCCACCTACATTCTTATTCTCTATTTAACACAGTAAGAAATTTATAACTTTTAGAATAAAAAATACTGATAATTTTTAAATGTTCTATCTATTCTAGAAAAATCAGAGAGTAAACCAGTGATTTCCTCTGATTAATTTTGATTCTAATTATTCAAATGTCTTTTTCCTTTTATCTTTTAGCAGTTTATGGAAAATAGCAATGGATGAAGATGAAAGGAAAAGAAGTTATTTCTTGTTGTACTTAAGTAATGCTAACTGTTCTCATAAAATGAAGCTTGTGGACTATCTCCAGACTCAGTTCAGATTTTTTATTATTTCAAACAATTAAGATTTTTTTACACTTCATTATTTAAAAAGTGAAATTTAATCATTTCAAAAATACTACTACTGATGTTTTCATGCAATGTTTAAAAATGTTTAGGACACTCTGGTGGCCACTAACATTTCATAGATAGATATGCTTAATATCCTGTAATGTTTCATAAAATATGTTAGTGTCCAGAAACTCTGAAAAGAGACATAATGATGTATGTGGTAAATGATTAGATTTTAAGAAATACTTCAATAATTTAAAATAAGAAAATAATCAGCAAACTAGCAGGAAAGTTGAACAGTGAATTAACATCATGTACCTAAACCATTCTGGCCACCCACAGCAAATATCTTGTCTTTTACAAATACCAGCCCATGATTCTTCCTGGGTTCAATCATGGGACACAGCTCAGTCCATCTGGAAAAAAAAAAAAAAGTTTTCAGTGTGCTTATTTACAGGAGATAAAAGTACTTATTATAGCAAGAAAGGTTTGTTTTCTTAAGCACTCATTTACTGCTGTGTTACATATGTATGTATACCTAAAATGTCTAGAAGGCTAGAAAAGTTCAAGTGATTTTGGGTAATTTTTTATAGGTGGGGTGAATTGGGATTTTATTTCTTTAACAGGATAGTGGGAGCTGGGCATGGTGGTACATGCTTGTAATCCCAGCACTTGGGAAATAGAGGCATGAGAATTGTGAGTTTGAGGTCAGCCTGGGATAATAAGACCCTCCCTTAAACACTCAAACACACACACACACAGTGACAGAGAGATAGAGAAAAACAGATGATATCTGGAGACCATTAGCATGGTCTTTCAAAGAGCTCCATTTCCTATAGTTTATAATAATTTTTAAAATGGCAGCAAAAAGGAAGGGAAGATACTTAGAATATAAAGCATTAATTCTGTCAAATGTGTTTTTAATTAATATGTGTGTATGTGTAAGTAAAACATATAACGGGCCTCAGGCAATTAGCAAATCAGTGTTATTCACATGCTAATTTTTATACTAAGAATTAGGGAGCTCTGGTTTTTAAAAAAAAGTACTATCATTTTGTCAGGTGCAATGAAACTGAGAACACAAAAGTGTGTATTAAGTGTTGAAGGATACTAATTCCTGAGGTGGTATCATCATCTTCATAACCAGACACAGACAATTGTGTTGGTTGTTCTTTCTAAGAGTCAACTGCTCCTTTTGTATATACTCCCATGACTGATACTTGTGACTGTGGAGCTGGTACTTGCACACAGGCTTGTGCTCTTAATACCAGAAGACTCCAAACAACAACAACAAAAGGGAAACTTACATAAGCACAACTTTTTAAGATGGTTATTTCTATGTTTTGTTTCTAGTTTAAAAGTTTTGATTAATTTTATAAGACATATTTAGGACATTATGATGAACTGAAATATTAAAAATTTTTGTTGTCTTATATTTATGTACTGCTTTTTGTTTTAAACATTGTTTCACAGTCATCATGCTTATTTCTGGAGCACACTGTAAAGTGAGGTGAGCAGCACGGCTTCTGTTTCTCAGGAAAACACATGCTGTTTGTGAGATCATCTAGGTAAAATGACCAGCATGCAGCTTGTAACGAGAGCCAGGAAGTGCTAGGGCTCCACTGCCTCTCACAGAGTAATCTCTCACTGTGTGTAAAATATAGTACTTGGCTTGGAAAAATTCAGTTTACATACCTCTTTCTTCTCCAAACATGTCAATGATAAAAAGTGAGCATATGGTTTTTGTGTATCTAAATCTCCTGACCTCTAGAGGTTGAGAAGATTGGTGCAACTGTAATGCACATGCAGAGCATTACTTTGTTCCTGCTCTCCAACCTGAAGTTTAGTGTTTAGAAGCTTAACATTATGACTACTCAAACTGTCATGTTGTTTATATAGGCTTAATTTCTTAGCCTCCAATTAAATACATTCTAGTTACAAAAAACTTAAATGTCAAAGTTGGGGGGAAATTCTTACAAAAATAATTTGAGTGGCTAAGTCATATTTTAGTTTCATTAAAAAAAATTTTGTGGTGCTAGGGATCAAATTCAGGGCCTTGTACATGCTAGTGTCTACCACTGAGCTACCCCAACTAAATCACCTTTTACAAAGGAAATCAGAGTAGTATATAGCGTATTTTGAGAATCAGCTAATTATATTCACATACCTTTTAATTTAATAAAAACTTAAGGGCACTGGAGAGAACATCCAGAATTGAAATTTAACACATAAGTTTAATATAAACAAAGAAAATGTTAAGTCTTATAAGTTCTTACATATTTTCAAAACTGAATATTCAGCTGATTTTTAAAATTGCTGAGGTTACAGAATTCTTTTACACTTTTTCTTTGATGGTATGAATGAAAACATTGATTTAAATTGATACTGCCTGAATAAATGATTAGGCAGCAGTATGAATCAGATTTAATATTCCAACTAATGTGCAATAGTGTTTTGAATATAAGGTTTATGGGAGCTGGGGTAGAGGTTCCTAGTGGAGAGAGGACGAATGCCCCTGCCTCCATAGCTTGGGATAAGACGGGATGGATAAATAGCTGTTTTGAGGGATGGTAGGATGAGGACAGGGGTGTTCCCAGCATGCCCTGGCAAGTACAGGTATTATTTTGAAAACACTGGGAAGCAGTTCCAATGGTCTTAAGGGATTTCCACAAGTTGATTTTGCTTCTATTTCTTGATAACGAATGAGAACAAAAAATTGCAGCTGCATTTTTGTTTGGGAAAGGAGTTATTGATTATGCTTCCTTAAATCTTTTAAAAACAGATGGGAAGCACAAATAGATTAATACACACGACTACCATATACTAAATACTCTTACCTCTTAATTTAAAAAAAAGTAATAGCTGGGGTGGAGGACTTCTGTGTTTGATAGTATAGCAATATTTCCTAAACACAGAATGTGAAGCAGAGCAGTTTTGGTGCAACTCTTTGGCGTAAGATTTAAGTTGAACACATTCATCCAATAATTTCTTCTGGTTAAGGAAGAACAATGGGCAATCCAGCCATATGAGTAAGTGACTTTTCTTATCAAAGCTCTTTGGATATTGTCTGTTTTATTTCCTAATCATTTTAATGTCACCATACTTACCACCATCCATATTATTCAGTGATTAGGACATTTCCTTTGGCTACAATGAATGGTCTTTTTTATTAACTAAGGTTAGGAAAACTAATCATTTCTTCAATTTCTTTCTTTAGCATTCTGCTTTTTACAAAGCAATTATTTCAGCAACTCAAGAGGCAGAGGTAGAAAGATCACAGCCCTAGGCCAGCCTGGGCAACAGTATGAAACCTTATCTGAAAAACTAAAACTGAAAAGAACTGGGGTGTGGCTTAAGTGGTAGAAGCACTTGCTTAATAAGTATGGGGCTCTGAGTTCAATCCCGAGAACTGCCAAAAAAAAAAAAAAAAACAAATGCAGCTAAGCAGCTAATGCTTCCCATGTGATTTAAGAATAACTTTAGTGAATATAAATCCAAACATACTTTAGGAAGTATGAATCCCCAAAGACATCATATCTACTTAAGGACATGATATATTAATGTAATGAACCTATATGTAACATTTCTACTTTAGGGCAAATTTACTTATTATTGTTATTAATTTTTGCCACTCATTTCCTACATTTTCTGACCTCTCAAAAAAAAATATTTTACGAGTTTGATGAATCAGTCAGGTGTGTCTCATGGGTATTTACTGTTCAAGAAGGACAAGGAGGAGGAGGACTCTCAAGGGGGATAAGGTCAAGCCATTTCTTAAGGTGCAAATGAACAGTCCAGCTTGTTTAAGTGTATGTATATTCTTAATATAAGAACTAAATTCTTCTGTTGGGTTCCTCCTGCCATTTCACATCTTCTCCAAGTGAGCCTATAGAACACAGTAACAGTGAAATGAGAATTTTAAGTGGATATATACGTTTCTGTGGCAGGATCATAAACTTCACAGGAACTAAGCACTCTCCCAGAAACATTGTTCCCCAAGCTTCCACCACAAACATAGATGAGGCCATTGGCTTCCACCATTCCGTGGCTGCAGCGCTGAGTCAGCATGCTGGGCTTCGTGTGCCAGCTTTCAGTTCTTGTATCATAGCACTCAAATAAATACAGAGCTGAGTTTCCTGTAAAAGAAAAGGGCCCACTCAGGAGGCTGAGGCATGAAGGTTATATGTTTAAGGCTAGCCTGGGTTACCCTATCTTAAAAAAAAGAAAAATCAATCAACCACCACCACCACTCGAAAAGTACCCCGTCATGCTTAACTTAGTGTGGATGTGGATTTGGAGTGAGCTGATTAGAGAGCTAAGTCATGGGCTGTGAGAGGGAAGACGTTAAGTTTGTGGAGTCACTTTTATACTGAATCAATAACAAAATGTAGTCTTAGCTTATGAAGAAGTCCTTCATAACATAACTGAATAGTCCTTACAAAACATCCAAAAAAGGTTCTATTGGAAAGACTTACTTATTGGTAATTAAATTTCAGGAAAAGAAAATTAATTTCAAAAGAAAAATAAAAGAAACATTACATATATTTTCAAGCCCAGTTATGCATGTTGAGAATTATCTAAATTTCAAATGTTTATATAGAATGGGAAAACATAGTACTTAAAGATGATAAATCCATACCTTAAAATATGAAAACTGCTGTCATAATGTCCTAAGGCTTATATAATATTCTATAATAGCTACTGCATCATTATACTTCCTGAATGCTCTGAGATTGAGCAAGTAAGTCATGAAGTCACACTGGTTTCCTTCTTTAGTATACTCTCAAGGTATTAATGGCTACTTCTAGTGCATACTGACTGTACTAAGGGCAAAACTTATGTTTTGAAATTTTACACACTGTCACACTAGGAGCTCAATAAGGAAATGTGGACATAATTTTTTTTGGTGGTACTAGGGTTTGAACTCAACACTTCAAGCTTATAAAGCTTGAGCCACACCTCCAGTCCATTTTGCTCTAGTTATTTTGGAGATGTGGTCTCACGAGTTTTGCCTGGGCTGTCCTGGAAATGCAGTCATCCTGATCTCAGCCTCCTAAGAAGCTAGGATCACAGGTATGAGTTACCAGTGCCCAGCAAATTTTGGAAATAATTCTATTAAAGATTAAATGTTTCCCCTTCTTCTTAATAAAAAGGAAATGCTTTTAAAGAAGGGAAAAGGTCATCTTTTAAGTTACATTTAGGAAACAATTTTTCTTGTATTCATTTGACATGGGGTGGGGAGTGAAAACTTAGAACAGATGAATCTGACCAAAAGTAAAACATTTTCTGGGCTAATATAAAAATCATCAAAGAAAAATAAACAGATACATTCCATACTTTAGAGTTTACTTGGTCTTCCTAGTTTTCCTTATAAACTTATTATTTAGTTAAAGAAATAACTTGAAAAGATGAAAGCATGTAAGGGCTATTATGTGTCTAGTCTGCACCTAGAATATTCATTTAGAAAAATTATTCACTTAGAAAAAGATTACTGGACACTAACAAATTTCACCTCACCTGACCACAAGCATAAATTATAGCAATCATTAGATTAAGAACTTTAAAAAAAGCAATGAAAAGGATCATGAGATGGGCATGGTGGTGTACCCATGTAACACGTAATGCCAGTACTAGGGAAAATGAAGGAGGATCCAGAGTTAAAGGTCAACCTGGGCTACAAATTGAGACATTGTCTTGAACAACAGCAGCAGCAACAAAAACAAAAAGATCACTGTTTCTTCTGATTCAAAGAAAGAAAATATATTTATATAATAAAGAGTTCTTAAAGGACCTGTGAATAAGTTGAACTCTGAAATCTTTAAAGCAAATAATATCAGCTATCAAAAAAACCCCCAAACAACTAAAATTCAGATGCTATCAATTAATGCTTCATCATATAAAAATGAGCAGTTAACTAGGAAGCTAAATATTTTTGTAAATTAATGATTTAAAGGATTAAGTAAGTCAGGATATGGGCTCTAAATGTGATAGACATATATTTAAATAAGTACTGCATCTGGACAAATATTACCAATTTTTCTTTAAATATGAATACCAAAATACTTTTTTTTTTAATTTCTTGTATTCATATGTGCATACAATGTTTGGGTCATTTCTCTCCCCTTCCCCCTGCCCCCTCCCTTTCCCTCAATACTTAACTTTAAAGCATTCCCTTGAGCAAAAATATTAAGAAGTCCTTACCTACTTCTGAGCCTCCAGACGTATATATCTTGCCTTCTGCAGCACAGGCGGCAAGGCTGTCTCGAGGTGTTGGAGGGCCCAGTTTGGAATACCAGCTATCCTTCACAACATTATAGCAGTCCATTCGCTTTATGGGGAAAAGCTGAGAACCACCCAAAATGTATACTACATTGTCCCAAAACACACATGCTGCATCTCTTCGTTTTTCAAAGGGACAGCGGATGTCTGTCCAGCTATAATCCTGAAACAGAAAAAAGACAGGAAACTTTCAGAAAGAGATAATAAAATTGAAAAAGATGAAGTACACTGATGTAGATATAGCTGAAAACATACAAAATACAATAATATATTAACTTGCTAGAATACACAAACATGTTTGGTTTCAGACTGTTATCTAATTTAATCCGTGTAATTTCTTCAGAGTACTTGCTAGCTAAGGTAGAAGGCAAGAGAAAGGGACATAACTACTTTGTGTCTTTCCAAGCTTTGAAATAGACTTAACTATATTTCGATATATCAGTTCTATCCTGTCATTTATCCTTGTTAGTGAAGATTATAGTACAAGAAAACTCTTAAGTTGGGTACCAGTGGCTCATACCTATAATCCTAGCTACTTGGGAGGCTAAGATTGGGAGGATCAAGGCTCGATGCAGCCCAGGCAAAAACTTCAGGAATCCCATCTCCAAAATAACAAGAGCAAAATGGACTGGAGGTGTGGCTCAAGCAGTGTAGAATGCCTGCTTTGCAAGTGCAAAGCCCTGAGTCCAAACCCCTATCCCACTAAAACAAAAACAAAAAAACTCTAAAATAAAGTCATTTTGTTAAAAAGCCTCTTTTTCAAATGAAAATCTCCCCCACTGCCTCCCTGCCAGATATTTAGACTGATAAAAACTCAGTGAATATTTTGAAGCTCAGACTGCCTTATCCTATTGTGCCAGAGATATTTTGTGGGCTTCTATAAAATGTCAATTTTCTATAAATATTCAGTTGAGCCAATGTAGTCAGGTACTGATCATAAAGTTCCTGAGTAAGAACTCAAGAGTTCTGAGTCGTCTAGACACTCATTTTTTTCTCCTAAGGATTAGAAGTACCAATTAGTACCTCACATTAAAGTTATTCACAGCACCACTGCTGCTGTATTGTTTCCTTTTATTAATATCTTATTTAGTATATTATTGTCACTACAAATATAGTAGAAGAGCAATCAGCTTGATATTTAATTATTATGTATAAAACAAACTTAGCCAATAGTCTTTGTATATAAACCCTGATCATATGGAGATTTAATTTAAATGCTCTTAAATAGAGTTTTGTGATTTCAAAAACACTAGTAAGGGAACATCAGTCATGCAATCAGCATTAAAGAAATAGGGAGAACAAGAAATGGATGAATAGAACTAGCCAACTTGCTATATAAGTAAGGACTGTAACTGTAACCACTTCAGTAGGTCTAGAAAAAGGATGAATATTCATTTCAAGTTGTGTCCACACTGAAAACTAATGCCAGGTTGATGCTTTTATAGTGAAAGGGAGATGCAAAGTGATTTCCTTGAATAAATGAAGTTCTGGTATCATTTAACTTCAAATTTTCATGTAACTGAGGAGGAACAGAATTTTAACTAAGTCAACTCATAGACCAAATATGGCAGCTGCTTGATTTTTATACAGTCTGCAATACAATTTTTACATTTAAAAAGTTTTTAAATACCAAAAGAATAAGTTTGTGACAAAGTACATGTGATTTCACTGTAACAAAGTTTTACTGAAGTATGGCAACATGCATTCACCTGTGTGTTGTCTGTGTCTGCTTTTACCCAACTATGGCTGACCACAGAGTTCACAATACCTAAAATATTTACTGCCTTCTGGCTCTTTTTCCTGGGCTATGTGACTGATCTCAATCCAACACTCCTCCCTTTCTTATCTAGTCATAGGCTATGGGAAGTGTTTTATTGTTTTTCCTTTCCTCTTTTTCTTTTTTATTAGTATACACTAAGTGCATGAAATTAAGGGTTTGTGATACTTTTATACATGCATATAACATACTTTCATCAGTCATTTTCCCTATTACTCTTGTTCCCTTCCCCATTCCCTTCCTCTTTCTAAACAGTCCCTCTTCTACTTTCTCTTTTTAAAAAAACTAGATTCTGTGTATGAGAGAAAAATGTGCTGTTTGTCTGAGTCTGGCTCATTGTTTCCTACGGTTGGTGGCATTCAAGGATGCTTCTGCCTCCCTTCCACGTATGTGCGCGGGGGAATGGTCCCAAAGGTATAGCATGTTGACTGTTTTTTGAAAAAGGAAGTTGGTGCTTTGCTGTCTTGTGAAAATGGCTGAAATTAATCAGAATCAGACAATTCCCAGTTTCACTGAACAAAGCACCATGTGTAACTATAAATATTTAAGTTCTTTTGGGAAAATTCACCCGATACCTATTAGGTTAGTATCCAGTGACATGTTCATTAAGCTGATGTAAGAACATAAGGATGGTCTCTTAGGAAAGGAAGAGCCCCTTTGTAGGGACTTTGTTTTTTAAGAGACCAGGAAAACAGAGCCTTAGTCACATAGGACTTTATCCTCAGATTAGGATGTGTTCTTGGTTACTTGGTGGGAAAATACAACTATGAAGTAAATATCTTTCTGAAGCTTCAGTGTTACTCAATGGACACTGAAAAACTAGGGGGAAATATTTTTACTTACTCTCCTAGAGAAACTGTATGCCACAGAATGAAAGAGATAAAATAATAACCATATTCTATGGGAAGTAATCTCTCAAAGGTACACTAAATGATTCTCTTACATATTCTTTAAATCCAACCCTAATTTCTATCTGAGCAAATTCACTGAACAGAGAAATACAATTTCATTAATAGTCTACATTATCAACTTAGTGAACCTCAAGATTTGCCACTCTTATATCCAATTTATTGGACAATTATTAGAAAGCTATGTAGACGTTGCCATGATTTTTGAAGATATCCTCAAGAACATTATCTTTCCATGCTCTTTAATTTTAGGATGAAAAAGTTGGTCACATTCTTTTAGATGATTTCCAAGACCTGCCACTCCTCACATTAACAATAACTACCTATGTATGAGCTGGAATGCCTTCTTTTAGCCAGATGTGCTTAAACATTTAGATACTAGGATGAGAAGTCTAAAGAATGAAATAATTTCATAGAGTTTGGTAACAGAATAGTTCTGACTTTCTACTACTATTCAAGGTTAGAGGAGAGTAAATGGCTGCTCATAAGTTTCTGCCATATTGGGCTTAGTTAAGCTTCAAATTTAAGAATTAAAAGAAATTTCCTTCAATGCGAGTCAACTCCCTGTATCGTTATCCTTATCTCAACTAGCAAAAACCCTTGTTCCTTCCTATTATTGCTTATACTCTCTCTTCAATAAAATTAGAGATAAGGGCAAAATAGTATCGAGGGGGTGGGGGGGAGAGGGAGGGGGCGGAGTGGGTGATAAGGGAGGGTGTGGGGGCAGGGAGGAGAAATGACCCAAGCATTGTATGCACATATGAATAAAAAAATAAATACAAGAAATTTCTTTTTTGGAATTATGAGCACTGTGGGCAAGCAGGGGAGGAAGTGATTAGTCTGTGTGACAGGGAAAGGAAGAGAGGAAAGGAGAGGAGGAGGACACATGTATAGACACACATGCCTCTAGAATTTTTTTTTTTTTTGGTTCAGAGTCTCACTGTATTGTCCAGGTTGGTCTCATTTGGACTTAAGTGATCCTTCTGCCTCAGCCTCCTGAGTGCCAGAACTGCAAGTAAATGTCACCATGCCTGGTCCTCAATTAAAAAAATATATGTAGATGGGCGCTGGTGGTTCACGCCTGGCTACCCAGAAGATGAAGATCATGGTTTGAAGCCAGCCCAGGTAAAAAGTCCGTGAGACCCTATCTGGAAAAAACCCATCATGCACACAAAAAAAAGGATTGGTGGAGTGGCTCAAGGTGTAGGCTGTGAGTTCAAGCCCCAGTACTGAAAAAAGAAATACGTATCATGACAGTTTTAATAACTGTAAATGGTTATTGTACATCGGACACTAAGGTTGATAACACTGCCTACATAATATCGTGTCCAGTAGTTTGTCTTCAGGGGGGTACACTAATTTTTTTGTTTTTTTAGTACTTGAGTTCAGGGCCTTGTACTTGCTAGGCAGGTACTCTACCACTTGAGCCACACCTCAGCCCTTCTTAAAAGCTTTAGTTATTTTTCAGATAGGATCTCTTGCTTTTTGCCCAGGGCCAACCAGATCACATTCCTACCTACACCTCCCTAGTAGCTGTGACTGCAGGCATGCACCACACACCTGGCTTGTTAGCAGAGACGGTGTCTAACTTTTTGCCTGGTCTGGCCTAAAACTGCAATTGGCCCTGTCTCCTTCTTCAGGTGGCTGTGATTATAGGCTTGAGCCAGTATGTTTGGTCTGAGATGTCTTATACAAGCCCTTCTACCAAGAATGCAAAGTAGACTTCACTTCAGCTAAAATTTAATGTTTTATATTTGGGCTCATCTAAATACACCTGTGTGTGAACATGTGTGGCTCTGGCTGTATGCATACATGGTACAGGGGAGGTTATAATCTCCGTGGGGATTTTTTCATTCATGTGTATACTTCCCTTGAAGTCTACCTAATTCCCTCAGTCATCCAAAATAGAGTATGGAGAGGATGGCTTGACATTTGCCCTTTAGTAAGTGGCTGCAGTACCAAGAAGACAATGTGGCAGCTGAGACAAGGGAGCAGGGAGAACCAGTGGGTAGTTAGCTCAGTGGCTCAGTGAGCACGCGCCAGCTCCAACCTGGGGCCCTCTGGAGAGGACAGGGCTATTTACAGGGCAAGTAGAGGAACACAGTTTTCATGTCAGCAACAAGATGGACAAAGCACTTGAGTCACAATGGGCGGTGTCCATGTGGAGAGGAGGCAGGAAACTGTTACCCTAAAAATAGACTCAATTAGGTTTTATTGAGTATCTGCTCCATGCAAGGTCCTGTGCTTAGGGGCTGTAAAGATCTGGAAATAGGAAAAGATGTGATGGAAGGGTTTCATGAAGACTGGCTACATCACCCGCACCTGTATAGTGCGTGCACGCGTACACACACACACACACACACACACACACACACACACACACACACAGACACATTCATGTACAAAGTCCTGCCTCCTTTGGTCCTTGTCAGCCTTTCCTGCCTCTGTTGTCACAGGCATACTCTATACTTTTTCAAG